TAACCTTTATCTAGAATTTATTGATTTATTATTGTAATTAATAACAGGACACTGTTCCTGTCTTTAAAATCATTTTCAAACATTGAAATCTTGTACAATTTTTAAAATTGTACTTAAAAATCATATAAATCTTACTGTCTTAAAAACTGTTAAGTAAGTACATTACGGTAACATTGACTATATGCATATTGTTATTCAACACAGTCTCATCAATTTTAAAAACAATTTATTATGAAAGCAACTGGCAACCCACTAAGTCATGGGCGAGTTTAAGTAAATTTCAAGTATAACTTGTCAAGTGGAATCTTAATGCTTTTGGAGATACAGTCTTAGAATCTAGTTTTCTCTCTTCAAATTTAAAGAGTGATAACCATAATGAAATCACTTAAACTCCTCATTGAATTATGCCTCTTTGTTTCAATCACTTTTTAAAAAATCACTTCTATTTGATTTGAGGGCACCTTTCCCTTCATTTTCTCAGCTACACTATTAAACTGTGAAATATGTGTATAAATCATCCACTATTTAAAATATGTTGTAAAATGTGCAGTAGACTCAGCCCATATAAAGAAAAACATCTCATCAGTAATAAACCAATAAAAACTAAAAAATGATTTTACCTTAGAAATAAGATTGTGATTAATCTAAGAAATAGGAAAGGTAGTGTGTTTAGGTTAGGGAGACTATTATTGGCTTACAGATATAAATTTGCCTTAATATTTATTTATACTTTTATATCAGCTATAAAAACTGGAATTCTGCATTATATAAGAATTTTGTATCTGCAAGTCATTGTCATTTGGTGTTCATTCTTAACATTAGAACCACTGTATACATTGCAAAACAAGTTTTACTTTCAGTATTTAATCCATAAAATTCTTTCAAAACACTTCTCTTCAAGGGAATTCTAAAAAATTCTTTTTTTTTTTTTTGAGACGGAGTCTCGCGCTGTGTCACCCAGGCTGGAGTGCAGTGGCGCGATCTCGGCTCACTGCAAGCTCCGCCTCCCAGGTTCACGCCATTCTCCTGCCTCAGCCTCCGAGTAGCTGGGACTACAGGCGCCCGCCACCACGCCCGGCTAGTTTTTTGTATTTTTAGTAGAGACGGGGTTTCACCATGTTAGCCAGGATGGTCTCGATCTCCTGACCTCGTGATCCACCCGCCTCGGCCTCCCAAAGTGCTGGGATTACAGGCTTGAGCCACCGCGCCCGGCCCGGAATTCTAAAAAATTCTAATATTTTTCACTACAGATAAATATGAACGATCTGTGATATTAAGGTAGTGAAAAAGTTCGATGTTTATATAGTGAGAAATTGAGGAAATTTAATTGAAGATTTAAATAGATAGGAAAAAATTGATGGTCTAAAATGTCTTCCAATTGTTATATTACAGTTATGCTGATTGGGTAAATGGCAAAATAATAAGTTAAAAATAATTAAGGATATCTAGAATGTTGAGATAGAAAAATTTTTATGGTTTTATACCCCGCCCTAAAATGTTGGAAATATATACTACTTTTTGTGTTGAAATGGTCTTATGTACTTCAAAGTGATGTTTCAAAAAATGTTACCCGCAACATTGAGTCTTTGTCTCCTCATGCCTTTGAAATTTCTTATTGAAATAAAATTGACATAAGTGAGCAAGTTACTATTTTTAAGGCAATTTTCCATTGGTAAAGCCAATGTAGAGTTGAATTACATTTAACTTTGGGAAGGAATTATGGGAATAGAATATTCCTATATTAAATGTGACAGTGAATTATCCATTAATGTCCATTAACAATCAACTGATTAGTAAATCGTCCCTGTAATGACGGTGCTCTTTCCAACATGTCATTTAGTGACAGCTTTGGTCAAGTTGGGAAATAGATGGAAAGCATACAATTGCTCTGACCTTTTCAGGATCAAAAGGCATTTTGACATACTTGAAACCATTTTAATGATAGCAGCTGTCTACTAATTGAATAAACCCTAATAAAAATAATATAACCTATTTGGGGATTTGTAAATGGTTAATAGACCTTTTATTATATGCTGCATAAAAGAAGAAATCTGATATGTTATTGAAGAAGACTATATATGTCATAGAGGAAAATGGGAAACCACTTGGAAAAACATTAAAAGGAAAAATAAGTGTTTAACTGACTGCATGAAAATAATAGATAAAGAAAAGTCCAGGGTCACCTGTCTCTTTTTGTGATGCTCAGGATTTTACTTTTAGGTTTTTTACTTAGTATTATTCTATTCTGTTGTCTATGATATTTCAATTAACTTTTTGTATCTTAAAAGTATGTCTCTTTTTAAGGAGAACGTGTGATTGCATTCTATGTGCACAAATTAATTTTTAGAGGAAAAGGCCAAGGAAAAGATTATACCTGCTTAAAATGGGACATAATTAGCTACCGGAAAGCAGTTTGTTTTTAAAACCAGAAAAAAACAGTGCAGCAATTGTAGGCTCTGTTGTTTTTTCCTGTTTGGAACAGTACTCATTAGTAAATGATTTGGCCCCGATATTCTATTATAAAGCTTGGTGCTGAGCAATCAGGTATGATTTACTGTGGACAGCAACAGGGGAGGAGGTTTCAACAATGTGGCAGATGGAAATTTGAAAACCATTATAGTCAGGAAAAGCAAAAACGTGGCTTCTTATAGTAATCATAACTCACTCACAGCTGCAGTCTGTGATGATGGAAATTCCATGATTATTGCCTTTACATTTTCAAACAAATGTTTTCTTCCTGTAAAATTTTTACTCACATCTGTATGTGTGAATATACACATATATCCAAAATACGTCTATGTCTATCCATACTCGTGTATATAATGTAGCAAATTTAACTTTTTTCACTTTGCTAAATAATCTTTCATCTTTAATGTAATAATAAAATCAATCATTACAGCAAATCAAAATATGAAGTTGAAAATGGCTTGTATAAATCATATCTTTCCCTAAGTACTCTAGTATCACTATCAGAAAAAGAAGCATAACATTGTTATTACTATGACTACTACTGCTGATAAAAATAATAACAAAAGCCACAAAAAACACATATGGATCTCCAAAAAATACAGTATTAGAATATTTATCCCACTATTCATAGAAATAAAATTTGGAAAGGACTGTGTGAATGATAATGTACCTAAACTTAGTGATGCTCCAAAGATAATTACTAATTTTCTATTCTTATAAATATTTTCTACTGTTTGATATATAGTAAAATAAGGGATCATATGATAAACGAAAGAGATTATAAAGAAAGTAAGACTTTTGCAGCAGAAATAATATACTGTATGACTGAGCTAACAATAAATTATGTAAACGTTACATTAGAAATTAGAAAATATAGTGATGGATAATTTGAGTCACATTATTTAGACAGTTAACCATTTACTGTTTTCTTTTTCACTGGTTTATTTTGTTCTAGCTTTTTCGAGGCTTCATTTTAAGAAAATGTACCATAAGAAAAAACGACAACTATACCAATAATCACTTCTATTTATGTATGTATTTATTTATTTATTTATTTATTTATTTATTTATTGCTTCATAAACACGATTTACAAATGTTCTTCCTAGAAACGCTAATAAGCAATTGTTATAAGAAATGGACATATATTAAGATGTAAATATAAAGTCCTAACGTTGTTCTGAGGCAACTTAGTATATGTTTCTGAAATATGTACCACCTTATTTTCTTTCTGTAAAGAACAATATCAATTTTCCTGTTTTTTAATCTTCAAAAGCAGAAAGCTATAATCTTCCAGATATTTCTTTTGACTCATCTTATCTTTGATAGAGCCATCGGCTGTTTTCTTCACTGAATCAGTAAAAATACAGAACTATTTATTATTTGGATATTCTTTGTCATCATAGGTAATGAGTTTCAATCACTGCAAAACCAGCAATTTATTTTTAGTTTATTATACCCATTGTATTTTCTTTCATGTTTGGTTGATAGAATAGTTTGATAACATTCTATTAGTATCTGAAAAAGTAAAACATCTGAAGACATTCTAAGATGGGATTTCTCCTTTATTATACGAAGGATTTAAAGTTTTACGTTTAATTTATTCTTTGCATGTTAATAATGACTTGCATGAAAGCATTTTGAGGCATTACTGATTAAATTAAAAGCATTTAAAATACATCTGTACTTCCTTTTTTTCCTTTTTTATTTTATTTTATTTTATTTTTTAGACAGAGTCTTGTTCTGTTGCCCAGACTGGAGTGCAGAGTGCAGTGGTGTGATCTCGGCTCACTGCAACTTCTGCCCCCACGCGATTCCTTCAAGCGATACCTATGGAGTGGCTGGGATTACAGATATGTGCCTTATATTTTAGTAGAGACAGGGTTTCACCATGTTGGTCAGGTTGGTCCCGAACTGATCTCAGGTGATCCGCCCACCTCCATCTCCCAAAGTGCTGGGAATACAGCTATGAGACACCGTGCCCGGCCTGTTTTTCTATTCATATGTACTCTGAATGTTGATAAGTATATACTTGAGGAGGCAATGGTTAAATAGGCATAAATGCGAGGTTTTCTCCGTCGCAAGAGTGTCTAAAAGGTCACAAAGAGTAGAGTATAAGTGATCCATAAACCTAAACGAGAATTGAACGATGGGAAAGATAGAATCCAGGAGGTGCTTGAGTGTTAACAGTGCTGGGTAATAGGAAGGGGAAGTACAATGGTCAATCGCTTCAGGGAAAAATTGCTATTTGTTACTTTGCATTTTATTAGCTGCCATTTCTATCTTATTTAGAGAAGAGAATGAGGACAAAAAAGAAATGCATTCATTTCCCTTACCTTGCTTTCTGGTATTTATGGTTATCACCCTAGAATCTCACATTTGTGGAGTTCTTTGGGAAAAAAAATGGGATTTTCATCAATCTCCTATTATCATGCAAGTTATATCAGTGCCGGAGCAGCTTGTTTGTTCTTGATGATATCTTATGTAAGCCCCTGCTTGTGTACCTGGTACTCACCAGTGATTTGTGCTTTAGGCTGCTGAAGAAAAGATGCAAGACTGTGCTGTGGAAACTGGGAAAATCACCCTTCCTTTCAACTTGGTAAGCAATACCAGGATTGACGTATTTGTGTCACAAGATGTATAAAAAAGTATGCAATTATTATTATTTTTTAATTAAGAGAAGATCTTGGAAACAAATGCTAGAAAAGTTATAATGTCTTAGTTGTGACACCAATAAAACTAATAAATATGAAGACTATTAAATATAGCTATTAGATAGCAAATAAATTTCATGAAGCACAAAGAAAAATAAGCTGTGTTTAGTTTTAAATCAATCTCAGCACAGTCATGAAATATATTTCCATAAATACAAAAATCAAAAAAGTATTTTTATGTTTTCTAAAGATATTCAAGAAAACCTAGAAATGTCACTTTATGTAAAGTTTGAGGAATGGGTGTCTGACCTTCAAATCAGAGAGATTCACAAAAGGGTTTGTGAATGCTGTAAAGAAAGTTTCTGGAACCCAGCCTTTCAATTGTGAGTAGTACTTGCCTCATGAGATCATAGAATTCAAGTGAAAGTATATTATATGCTTCATTTAATACACAGCATGACACATAAATTCACTTAATATGCATTGTTTTCTTCTAATTCCCCCTAATCTATTCTCTTTCTAAGACAAATGTTTGCATAACTGCATTAAGGAAAATGGTTATTTGCATATAACCAGAAGAACATTGACATACAATATAAAACCAGTAAAGTTCAGGCAACTATGCCTCTTTAACGGTGCTATCCACTTCCCGGCCTCTGTCTGTCTTTCCTCTGATTTCACATAAATACACAACTCACATAAGAACTCCATGAAATCATTTTTATCTTCCTAAAATTACTTATTATACATGAGAGACCATCAAGTAGTTATTGTAAATTAATTGAATTGATCCACTCTGAAATACAAAAGTACTTTTAGGACCCCATTCATTAAGATATTACTCTGAGACAATACAAGGAGACTTTTAGAAGCTTGTGGAAAAAGGAATTACAAGGTGAAAATGAAAAATACAAACTTTATTCCTCAACATAAGCTTGATTGAGGTCAAGATATTTTGTAAGTGATGCTATCAGCCATTTAGTTCATTCCTAAAGAGCTGATGGTTCTGGGAATTTATCCATGTCAATGCAGTATTTTTATATTATTAACTGAAGAAAAATCAGTGTCTTTTAAAGTTTTTTTGTTTGTTTGCTTGTTTTCTTTAAGATTAGGAAACAAAAAAGAAGTCAGAAGGAACCAAATCAGGACTCTAAGGTGGATACCTTAGATAAGGTGGATACCTTAGATAAGGTGGATTTTTTTCCATTGAAAATCTTGCAAAATGGACCTTGTTTGATGAGAGTGATGAGCAGGTACATTGTCGTGGTGGAGGAGGACTCTCTATTGAAGTTATCTTGGGCATTTTTCTGCTAACGCTTTTGGGTAACTCTCTTAAAATACTCTTGTAACAAGGAGATATTATTTTCTTTGGCCCTTCAGAAAGTCAACAAACAAACTGACTTGACATCTTAGAAAACCATTGCCATCATCTTTGCTCTTAAATGTTTCACTTTTGCTTTGACTTGACTACGTCCACCTCCACGTAGCCATTACTTTGATTTTGCTTTGGCCTCAGGATATTACCAGTAAAGCCATGTCTCATATCCCGTTACAATTTTTCAAAAATGTCTTCAGGAACTTAATCCCACTTGTTTAAAATTTGCATTGAAAGCTCTGCTCTTGTTTGCGGCTGATCTGTACACAAGAGTTTTAGAATTCATTGAGTGCAAAGTTGGCTGAACTTTAATTTTTCAGTCAAAACTGTGTAAGCTGAACCAGTTGAGATGTCAAGGTGTTGGCTATCATTTCTGCTGTTAATCATCAGTCATCTTCAATTAGGGTACAAACGAGATGAATTTATTCCTTGCAAATTGATATGGATGGTCTGTCTCTGTGGATTTAATCTTCAACATCATCTCATCCCATTTTACGACAAGTTACTCATCTGTAAACTGCTGATATCTTTGGGGCATTGTCCTCACAAACATTTTGTAAAGCATCATGATTTTGACATTCTTCCACCCAAGCTTCATCATAAGTTTGACGTTTGTTCTTGCTTCGATTTTACCAGAATTCATGTTGCTCTGAGATGAGCTCTTTGCAAACTGATGTCTTATTCTTCTTAATGCTTCAAACTACATCCTGTTCAGGCATATTATAACAAGCTAGTGTGAGTTTAATGCAAAAAGATTGAAAGCCATGCAGAGTTTCTTATATGTATTTTCCGTGAGGTTTTTGAAGTCACCTTGCATAATTGCATAAGCCTAAAGACTAAGACAAAATTTTGCAGCATATTTATATCAATAAAATCTATTTTTAAATTAAAAAAATGAATGTTGCTCTATTACATATGACAAAATATTTATTAAACTGTCACAGGTGATGAGAATACAGACATGTAGCTAAAGAGGAATAAAAGTAGAGTTAAGAAGAAGGGGAGATATTTTAAACATTAGATTATAGTAACATGAACAGCAAACAAACAGTAAAATAATTAGCTGAAACTGAATCTTTATTCTTTTAATTGTATGTTATATGGATTTGTATGTAATACTTTGTCTGCATTCAAGAGTGAAGCACTTCCTTTTTTTCACTCAAAAACGACAGTATTTCTAAACAACGGAGAAGCTATCATATTTTTAAGCAATTCTTCTGGAGTTGTGATTCTCAGCAGGAGAGACCACTCTAGATGTTATTTTTTAGAAATAAACTGTGTTTAAATAATTATAAAAAGATTTAGAAATTATGCCCATAAAATAACTATAAAAACTGAAATTTAATAATAATCTCTCAGGTCAGGCGCGGTGACTCATGCCTGTAATCTCAACACTTTGGGACACTGAGGTGGGCAGATCACAAGGTCAAGAGATTGAGACCATGCTGGCCAGCATGGTAAAACCCCGTCTCTACTAGAAATACAAAAGAAAATTAGCTGGGCGTGGTGGTGCTTGCCTGTAGTCTCAGCTACTCGGGAGGCTAAGGCAGGAGAATCGCTTCAACACGGGAGGTGGAGATTGCAGTGAGCCGAGATTTTGCCAAAGCTCTCTAGCCTGGAAACAGAGTGAGACCCCGTCTCAGAAAAAAGATAAAAATAAAAAAAAAGAATATCTCAAAATGAGATGATGTCTGCAACTCTGAACATATAAAGAAAATTGATTTATTTAATTTGAGGTATTTGAAAAGTAAAAAGATCTCTAGATACACTGTGAATAGAGGTTTTCTTTCTCAATGAGAGATAAAAATAAATTGGCTTAAACCCTGGATAGAAGATTTCTGGCATAATACAAATGACAAAGAATATCTAGGTCGAACAACCATTAAGCACAAAAAGATACTGACCAAGGGAGTTTGTGAAATTTTCTTTAAATAACTTTAGCACATCTTCTTTATTAAATGTATAACCTTGTTAGGTAAAACTATTGAAAAAAATGAGTTAAATAACTCTATATGTATTGAATGGATCAAGTGTATTAACTATTTTAAGATGCTCATCCCTTATTACCACAGATATAGAAACCGTGCAACAATTTTAATAGTTTAGGTATGTGTCAATATATAATTAATTCATGCAAATATAAGCAGATAAACAGTAGAGCTAAAGGTTAGTATAGTTAGGGTTGAAATTACTCATCAAATAAAACTATACATATATTCTTTACAGAATCATCCTATCCTCAAAACTCTACAAAATTGGCTGTCTCTGGTATTAGGGAACATCTAACATTCTTTTTGTTAATACAAGCACACATAGATGGACTTTGAAAATAAATGCAATGAACAACTAAGAATAAAGTGGTTTCACCATTGAATATTATGTAATAACTAGCATTCTCATTATTTTGTCATTTTTAGTTTGGTATTTTGAGTCCATCAAAATAATGTCAGGGTATATAATCATTGTATGATGTTTCTTCAACTTGTTTACCTATTTAATGTTTAGAAATGCATGTATTTACCAATTGCAATGCAGAAGAACCTTGAAATCAGACATAAGTATGGCTTACAGGAATGAAGTTCTTGGACTTCTTCTCTGAGTAGATTTCCCTAAAATCATTCATATGTCTGTGGAACAGTATCACAAATATATATATGTATATACATATATGTGTGTGTATATATGTATATACATATGTGTGTGTGTGTGTATATATACACTTGTAGTATCATGGATATGTGTGTGTATTTGTTTTAACATCTAAAATAACTATATCTTCTTTCAAAAATGGAACAAAGTCAAAAAGATATTTTGAACCACTATCAATGTATTGCAAGGCATTTTGTGCTATAATGAACACAATTTTACAAGTACTAAGTAAAGAAAAAGATGCAGACATCTGAGAAATTCTTACATAAGGAAGCATTGTTTTAAAGATGCTTCTTAGATCATGCTGAAAGGATTTCAGGTCAGTAGCTGTATACTTCAGAATCCCAGTTTGCAATAAAGTAATATTTACTCAATGGCTATGAGATCATGGCTAGTATGCAATGTCTTCAATCTTGATGTCCAAGAGTTTGTTCAATAAGACAAAATTCATTATTGCCCTTTCAACATGAAGTATGACGTAATTGTTTTTATTTGTAATTCCTAAGTTATAGGGCACAATTTTAATAGTAGAAAAGGGTATTTGTTTTTCATTTTGAAGCAGAATAAAACTAGGAACAACAATTCACTAGTTTACTCTTCTTGTGCTGCTTCAGGCAGTAATGAGTGAGTCAATATGTTATGGCCATATTGGTCACTGGGGACTACAGGGTGCATTAGGAAAACATCATGTGATGTTTTAGCAGGGCAGTTTCCATTAATGTCAATGAAAGTTATATTACTGAAATTTCAGAATATGATTTAGAAGTATCCTTTACGGGGAGTACATTTTAAGGAGATGCAGCTAACCACAAGAAACATAATTTTTTTAGCTAAACAATGGGGTGACATTAGTTCTAGATTTTTTTTTTTTAAGTTCTATGTTTTTTAACCTCAAAAACTCAGTGGATAGTGACAATAGAGAGTAAGCAGTATACAATAACAGTAGGTAGATTAAAAGTTTATACTAAGAACAAGTCCTGGTCAAAATCATTGTGTAGAGTTGTGCCTTATCTGACTTCTAATTTTGGATATCAAAATAAAAATTATACAAATATGCCTTAAACCAAAAATTTCAGGTACCTCATCTTAAGTGTTGTATGATGTGGTTCTTTAATTTTTAAATGTTATGAAATAAAATAAGGAATTAATTAAGCCTAGGGAAAACTACCTACTGTTTATAAGTCTTGGAAATAGATATCATATTGCTGACAATACAGAGTAATTTATAACTATGAATGCAATGGGATATACTGTTAACTTTTAGTCCATCTCTTCTGTTGTTAATAACTTTAGGTTATCAGTCAGTTATGCAGTATATTGGGATCTGTCTCTGTTCACCTTGAAGTTCTTATCTAATGCTCTTCGGGGAGCACCTAAGTCAGGTTGTTCATTTTCATATAGGCATTGGTATCAGAAGGCCAAAGCTTATCCTCCATCCCTGACACTATGTAACTGTATCAGATTGAACTCATTGTTGATTCTCTCTGTGCAAATTTTCTAATTTGGAAAATGTAAGCAATAGTAGTTCCTGTATTCCAGGTAGACAATTAGATGCATTAATATATGTTATGTCTTAAAATAATGCCTAAATCATTATAGTGCTAAATAAATATTATTATTATCAATGTTATATCATTATTTCTTTTCCCTTCCTTCTCCTCTTTTCCCTTCCTTCTCCTTTACAACTTCTGCCCCTACAACTAAACAAAGAAGGGAGTAATGGATTTAATTTATTTGTGAAACTAATAGTCTAGTTTTGAAAGTAATTCAACTATCTATATGATGATCGTAATTAATATTTTGATAGTTTTGTCATTGTTCAACTCTAAGTGGATAGCAAAATGCTAGATTTAAGTCTACTTGAAACACAGATAAGCTTATCCATGTTTACACACACAATTATGTATTTCTTGTGACTGTGGATGGAAATGGCGTATAAACCTCCTTGGTGTTATGCACAATAAGATTATCTTGGGTTGTTACCAGGGACAGACTACCATATTATTCTGAAATCACTTAGTATAGCATGTTGTTTAGCATTCTAGTATCTAACAGTGGTAAATAGTACCTACTTGCTGCCTCATTGAAATGTTCTTGCCTATTTTTATATACACATATATATATACACATACCTCCACATATATGAAAATTCAAATATCAATATTTACAATATTTTAAAAGATAGGGTCTCACTCTGTCATCGAGGCTGGAGTTGCACAATCACAGTTCACTGTAGCCTCAAACTCCTGGGCTTGAGTTATTCTCCTGCCTCAGCTTCTCCAGTAGCTGGGGCTACAGGTGTGCAGCACCACACTGAGCTATTTTCCAGTAATTTAAATGGCTATCACATGAACACCTGATTGTGAAGCTCAGAAAAAGGACAATGCTAGGCTTGAGGTATCCTCTGGAATATCTTAACTGAGCAGTAGAACAAGAAGTTTACGAGGTCAGCTTCCTTGAGTTGAGCAGTCCAAAGGCACCAATAATCTGGGTAGCAATGAATGTTCTCAAAGTTCAAACTGCTCCAAGCCTGTATGATATGACTGAAGGGCATGCATACCACCAGTCCTTCTTTGGACATCACATGTATCAACAAGGTGGAAGTACCACAGGCATAGAAACAGGTTGCTTTACTTTTGTGATTGATTTTCTCCTAATGGTTGTCCATTTTGCAATTTAACTTGACCCTAAGTGTTATATTTGAGAAAATGATACCATATTACTTACTAAACTTAAACACTAGGGATGTTTCTACAGACAGTATTTCTACTGCTCTAAAAATTACCTCTGTCATCATTTCTACTCTTTCTTCTTTTGATTTACTGTCCTAGGCTTTTCAAAGTCATCGGTGTTTACTTTGCTTATGCAGGACACTCTGCCCTTTGACTCTGTAATTTTCTTCCTAAAACTCCCCAATTACCTCAATGGACACAACAGTTGTTTATTGTTCTCTTTGGCCTCAATCATAACTTTGAGTGGAAGAGAGATATAAAATCACTTCTCTGATGATTTTATTAGTCTTTCCATTTTCCTCCCATGTTTACATGTTGCAATCATTATAACACAATTACATTAAGACTGAATATTTTACAAAGCACATGGTTATGAAATGCAAAAGGTATTCATTGGAACTCATTTCAGATAAAATTCATTTTCATCTTATTCATTTTTCACTTTTTTGATTTTTTTATTTGGGTACCTGACTGCTTAATACTTAGCAGTTGCCACACAGGCATTCTCTCTAAGAAGATGAATTTCAGATGCAAGATTCCTCAGGTAAACCTCACTCAATGCTAATTACTGGATAGACTCAATCCTTGTATAAAAAATGAAAATTGTAAGTGAATATTTTTTGTGAAAAAAAAACTGCTACACATTAGCAACTGAATACTAAATCTTAGTAGACTAGTATGTATTCTTCTCTCTAAACCCACCACATAGAAAATAAAACTGCCTTGTTTATATAACCCAACCTAGAAAATAATGTTGCAAAACGTTTCATTCTTAGAAGAGACGTCTTGCTCCCAACCGTATAGTTAAGGGCTATGTATCATTCAACCAAAGATCCACTTAGCTATTTTCATGCTCAAAGAATTGGTACAATTGCATTTGTCTCAAGGTGGGTCACTTAGTCTTGTACCATATGATATTACTTTGGTTTTCAAATGGAACCCATAAAAAAGATTGATTCGTATTCTTGGCCATTTTTGCCTTTCTTGCCGTATGTAGGGGTGTGTAACATGAACTCTTTCCTTGGTGGCTAGTCTGATCTATTGCTTGTTACAGGGCTCTAGAGACCTAGAAAACAAAATTGCTCCTAGAGCAAGCACCCTGCAATTACTCAGGCTGTAACTACATAGACCTAACAAACTGTATTGCTCCCCAGGTGGCTTTCTTGCGCCTCACTCTTTCTGCTGTTAGGCCTTTTGCTGTTCCAGGAATCCAGGAGATTGAGCATGATCCTCTCCAGAGTCATCTGGTCATTGCAAAGCTGAATTATATTCAGTGTGTATCCGGAGACATGGTTATCAAAACTTGCTACAAGTACTTTATGAAACTAGTAGATTTTACAATTGTCAATTAGTATATATTGAGCGTCTACTAAGAGAGAGCCAATATCTCCTAAATATAAATAGTTATCAAAACAGCATTTATTTTCAGGTTGCAAACATTTTAACAAGATGACAGGAAAGTACATATAAATATGAATACTTTTAAAAGAAAATGCTTATGGTTTCATAAAAGTTAAAGGCCATTTTTATTTATAGTTTTCAGTACATTTTTGACAACTTTTCTGATGTTTAATTACTTTGGGATTTGTTAAACAACTCCTTATGTACTCAATCATTTAAATTTGTATTGTTCTTTTTATAAAATCATTCTACATAGATAATGGCAAATAATATAGCATTCTCAGTGAGAGTAATTTTATTATACAAATACATTATTTGACAATTTTAGCAGGATACAGTTAGGGATTATAAGTAAAGCTTCAATAAATCTTTGATTTATTCTAATAAACTAATGTGCTATATAATTATGCATAGAAGAATGTTGTTTGAGAATAAAATCCTTAGAAGTGTGAATCAGTTCATATACAGGAATAAAGATATTTAGTATTCAAGAAGATATGTTAGAAGAGTTTTCATTAATTGCCTATGATGTATACAATGGTTATTTCCTTACCTTTTGGCATTTTTTTATTTGTTTCTGTTTAGATTCCTGTTTCTATAACATTTCATTCTTTTTGAGAGGATATCGGAAGAATTGGTTGAATTTTCACTTCATGGTAATTATAAACCATAACAATAAAATATATTTACCAGGACAGTGAAGACTTTTGGAGAAAAAAATAGTCTATCATTTAAAAAAAAAAAGGTATCGCTTCAAGAAATTGTAAAGTGATGAATAAAATACATTAATAAGTAATCAACTGATTATTTTAGTCATAGAGGTTTAGAGAGCGGAGCTTACGGGTATGTCGCAGAATAAACAATCTGACAGAAAACAATGTTTGGCAAATAGAGTAAATATTTTGAAATATTAACTACTGATTATTTTTATCCCTTTCAAAACCTTAGAAGTTAGACATAAGATAGAGTGAATTTTTGACATCTCTTTTAAATGTTCACAAAATTGTATTATATTTGCAAACTACAGAGTTGAGGCTGTTTTAGTTAATATCTATCTAGCTATTAGATTGTGGAAGCTTATCGCTTCTTTTTCCCAACTGAAGGATGGTTTCCACCAGTTGGTTATCAGAAAAAAAAAATGAAAACTTTCCGTTGATCTTTGCTAAATACTGTGTGTGTAGATCACTCTGTGTCATAGTGTTTGAGGTGATAATAATAATAAAAATAATACAAGTTTTTACTATATTTAACAAAATGCATATTATTTAAGTAAATTTTTGCACAAGTTAAAGAGGATAATTTTTAGATATAGGTATATTTGGAGATGAAAGTAATATAGTGTAACTTAAAATGATATATAACAAAAGCATTTATTTTGAGGTTTTTGGTATAAATTCAAAACTATTAAATTCACTTATAAGTTCTAATAGAGAAGAACATTCCCTTGAATAGCCTTTCCTCATGTTTTGACTTCAGCTGGATATTTCCCTGCAAATTAGTACTGAATTGGTTAATTAAGCTCTCAATACTTAATCTGGTGGATGGGCCACACACTAATGTTTCCGACTAAAACTCTGAACCATTTTTACTTTAATTGGAACATTCTCCTTCAAATGAATTAAATGATAAAAGTTGTGACCTGTTAGCTTTTCTTGCAAATTTGCATATATACAAAAATGAGGCTTTTTCTTCTGTTATAAGCCAATGAGAAAACAATGTTTGAGGCAAATAATGGTAATATTTTAGCTCATTAAATTCTCTGCTCCTTTAATATTGAAAGAATGATTTGCCCCAAATATACTTGCTTTATTCTTTAAGTGAACTTGTTCTCTCCAATATCCTAATTAAAACCTATTACCTTTACTAACGGTCAAAATGACTTTTATTATTTTTAATACAAATACTTTCTTTTAAATACAGCATTTCAAAAGAGTGTTCTTCACACATTTATTTTAAATGAATGTGAGTAGATAAATAACAGGGCATTTGAAGTTCTTTAGTTCCACTTAAAGCTTGTTGCCATTAAGACTCTTACAACAGAAGTGATGCGTCCCAAGGATACTTACTTTTAGAGAGTAAACCAACCTACTCATAAACATCTTTCTTCTCTTTTCACACTTCTTATACACAAAATTCTTCTTTGCTGAAAAATGAAGAGCTGGGTTAGAAAGTGAGTAATTCAGCACACAGGATTACTCATGAAGTAGAGGTGGAGGTGATGGTGATACTGGGGCAGTTCATGATGCATATGTTCTTTAAATTTCTCTTAAAGTCTTCTTGGCAAGAAGCTATGTTATGGAGGGTAAATGGAGTGGGACAAATGTTTCAAGATATGATTACTCACCATTGTTAATAAATAAGATAGAAGTCTACTCTTTTTCTTAACATTTGCTGCAGTACAATAATAGCTCCTCAAGGCAAAAAGAAGAGACAACCAACAGGGAGATACAGCTGACAAAGCACTATTACCGCATCCATTCTGATAATGTATAACTGAAAGAACATAGTTTTATAGTTCTATAAAGAGAAAAAAAAGAGAGAATGTCTGCCAGTTGGGCTCGTGTGAAGTGGACTCCAAGGAAATTAATGTGCAGGAGAAATACCGGGGTGCTCTCCAAATGACCTGTGGAAGAGAAGACAAGGCATCAGGATTGGACAGAGAAAGACTTCAAGCTCCAATGTAGTCATAGTAAATGGGATGATCCTTCAGAAATCTCCCCAGTGGGAACAAGAAAATTAGACGCAAGACACCCTGAGAGGGAGGTCTGGTATTTGGTAGACTGATTCCTTTTGGCTGAAGGAATCTCCAAGGGGGGCTGACAACTGAGCTGTCTGCTGGCAGTACTCGCAGCAGCTGGGGAAATAAACTCCTCATTTCCGAAAAAGGAGCAAGAATGGAATATGCTTTTGTATTGGAAAAGCATTTCAATTTTTTTCTGTCATCTGTTTCTCCTTTCTCTGCCTCTTCCAATCCATCTTGCATTTAGCTGCCAAATAAATATTCATGTCTTTATGAAACTAGAAGGTTTCCTAAATGCATTTTGAACCCAGATTTGTTTCCATTGTCTCCTTTTGTCTGCTTTTCTATTATATGTTTAGCCCATTGTTGTTTCCTCCAAAAAAAGTACCAGCTATAAAAAGTAATATATCTGCTCTCTAGTCCTGGAACACAAATGCTCATTATGAACTCTTCATCACTTCACATGCCCTTTCCTCACAGCCAGTGTCTTCCCTGGCTTTCCAAGTTCAGTTTTGGCTCTGTTTCTTCGATAAATTATTTTCCGCCAGGTTCCCCTGATCTCTTTTTCCCTAGCCCGAATGCACTTACATTCTCTACCATACAACGAAGTGTTTAAATTTTACAAATTGACTCGAGTGACTAAAAAAACTCATGGAGCGCAGGCACTATATTTTTGTTTTGTTTAGTTTTCTATCACAGTTGCTAGCAAACTTCTGGGGCTATTGAGGATGCTTAAAAAATTTGTTATATATCTGATTGAGTTATATTCCTTATTTTCCAGTAGCATCGATATGCTATAGTATTATTGCCCCATCCCCTGAAGTCCCAGATCACATTATCTATTTCTCTCTTATTATTCATAGACACTAATTTTCTAGCTGTTTGTATACTACATCTTTATATATCTTTAAATATTTTTTAAGCAACTTAAGGAAGTCCATTAGTTATTTCCTCACCCCCTGCCCCTTTCAATCCCAAATATCTCCAGGGATTTTCATGAAGAAGCCCCTGAAAACTTGTTCATAGAATGAACTAACATTAATGGAATTTAAAGCTGGACATTAAGGCTAGAAAGGAATGCACTGTTTGGAGGAAATGAAGGATAATTCATCATCATGAACTTGTTGCTTTTAACTAATCATTGCTGCTTTGGAGAAAAAATGAAAGATACTTTTGTCCCCATCATCAGGGCCATATTATATTTCAGTAGCAGAATATCAAGAACTATGCTCTTAATTGTTAGCTATGGTCTTAAATACAAAGACAAAGACCATATTCCATCTAACTAGTTAGATGACTTAATATATTTGGTAATTAATTTCCTATGTTAATACACTATTTTCCTTATTTTGTTTATATTTCTGAACTAAAATTATATTATATAAAGCTTTTTCTACTCATAGATTATAAAATAATAACTTACTTTATTTTTGTTTTTGTTAAACAGTGAAATTACTGTGACATCTACAGGTACATGCAGATCTATTTCTGCTTCCGGGGTTTTTCTAACAAACACAATTTTTTGTTTAACTACAAATTTGTAATCAAATATGCTCTTAATTTGTCATATAAATTATTAGGTTGGTGCGAAAATAACTGTAGTTTTTTCCATTATTGTTGCACCATCCCATAATATATCTGAGTACAAAGAAGATAAAATAAAAACTCATGCATTTAAAAAAATCACTAGGGAAATAAAGACTTATGCTCAGTGTTATAACTAACCCATTTTTATTTTCAGATTATTTTTCATGCTTTTCCTATTATAGTTACGATAAACATTCGTTATAATTATATAAAAAGTGCGGGAAAAGTACCATATATGTAATAAAAAGATAGAAAATATAGGAAATATAAAAAGCAGAAAACGTGGTCAAATTGATCCTAGGCCCTTCCACTGGTCTAAAAGCCTTACCCACATTTTAAGACCTTTCTTCTTTCTCTTTAAATTTAATAGTACATACTTTAATTATCCTCCATATTAAATTATATAGCTTGAAAATTATTCATTCTATATGAAGTGAAGTGTTCTTTTTTTCACCCTTCAGATTTGGACATGTAGAACATAATCACCTAACTCAGAGCTGTAAAAAAATATGTTCAAAGCTAACATCTAAGCAAACTACCTAAGATTTCATCCTTCTGCTTAATTAACAAGTTGAAATAATTCAATACTGTGTATATCTGAGGTAGATGATAAAACTGGCCCTGAATGTATTTTTTTACTCTTTCTTGTTACCATGCTCTTTGGCATGGTATTTTGGAGTGCCCTCCCTACCTACATGGATTTGGTCATTTCACTGATTTTGACTAACGAAATAAGGCAGAAGTGACATTATGCTGGTACTAAGCCAAGTCCGTGAATATTTTTACTTGTTCTCCTATAATTATTTCATTGCCTTAAGAAATGCACTGGCTGATAAAAAAAATACATTTATTTTCTTTGCAGCAACATGGATGTAGCTGGAGGCCATCATCCCAAATTAATTAACACAGGAACAGAACACCAAATACCGCATGTTCTCACTTAAATGTGAGAACTAAACATTGGGTACCTAAGGACATAAAGATGAGAACAATAGACACAGGAGACTACTAGGGAGGGGAGGTGAGGAGGAGAGCAAGGGCTGAAAGCTAGCTATTAGGTACTGTGCTCACTACCTGGGTGACAGGATGATTTGTACTTCAAACTTCAGCATCACGTAATATACTCATGTAACAAACCTGCATATGTACCCCCTGAATGTAAAACACAAGTTTAAATTGTATGTAAAATAGAAATTCATTGGCTGGCTACTGGAAGATGAGAAACACATGGAACAGAGCTGAGTTGTCCCAGTTATCCCTGCAGATACTCAGGTACATAAGTCACCTCGGCCAAAATCAAAAAGATCTTCTGTTTATGGCTACTCTTAGCAGTTAAGCGGTTCATATAAGTTAAATAAGTGGTAATAAGTGTATACCAATGATACTTTGTGAATGTTGTGCAATATTGCTGTAGCAATAAATACCCTTTCAGTGCTATTGAGAAAGATGTGAATCCTCCTTTGCCATCCTTGGGGACATGATTTAACTTTGACCATAACTGAATTACTACTTACTGCAAAATGTTTACAGTGGAGTATTAGACTATATGTTTCTTTAGAACTTCTAATATTTCAAATGTCTTTCAAGAATTCATTTTCAGTAGAAAAATCACAATATTTTACTGTAGATTCACAGGAAGCTGCTCTCTAAGAGTTGAACTTTTAGAACAGTAGCCTTCAAATTTTTAACTGCACATCCCTAAAAGAATTTTGGAACACTATACTTCCCTTCCTTTTTAGCGGTGACAACTAAAGATTTCTATTCTAAGATTAAATAAATTTATTACTCATAAGAAATAAAAAAATAGATGTTTCATTTTAAAATTTGAAATAACTTATTGATTAAAGTAGTAACAAATACTTAATATATTTATAAAGTCAACTTTACCTAATTGAATAAAACAAATATAAAAAAGGTATTGTATCAGTCCATTCTCACATTACTAAATATCCGAGGCTGGGTAATATATAAAGAAAAGAGATTTAATGGGCTCATGGTTCTGCAGGATGCACAGGGAACAGCAGCATCTCTTTCTGGGAAGACCCCAGGAAACTTGCTATTGTGGCAGAGGGTGAACAGGGAGCAGGCATGTCACCTAGAGAAAGCAGGAGCGAGAGAGTGAAGGGGGTGAGGCCACACACTTTTATTTCACCAGAACTCACTTATTATCACAAGGTTGGTACTAAGTGGATAGTATTAAATAATTTATGAGAAAAATGCCCCCATGATCCAGTCACTTTCCACCAGGCGCCAACAATGTAGATTATAATTCAACATGAGATTTGGGTGGGGACACAGGTCCAAACCATATCATGTGTTTTATTTACTGGCAGAGTTCAGCAGTCCTGCAAAATGTATGAATTATTAATCTTTCAAAATAGGAACATCAGTAACTTATGCTTTGGCTATTCTAAATTCAATCTTTAGGCATGGATCAAAATATCCATTAATAATATAAAACACTGTGTGTGTGTGTTTGTATTGATACGGTGTGTTTCTGTATGTGTAAAGAGAAAAAATATTTTAAGGTTTAAGACAGCTTTGATTAAAGATTAAAGGAGAATTCTCTGTATTCTATATATGTGCATCCATTTGATTGACATTCCGAAGTTTTATAAACCTTGAGTTAATAAACATTATTAATATTTAGGTTCAGAGAAAGGTGTGCCTGTAATTGTGTATACTGATAGAAGATTATGTGAATTTAGATTTGTTTTCAGATCTTTTTTTTTTAAAGGCATATATAAGAACGAGAATCTAGGAATCAATTCCATTGAAACTATTGGTGCATGCCAACCTGATAGAAACTTTTCATGTACCCCAGGGCCCCAGGTTGAAGACTTTTCATTGAGAAAAGACAAAAATAGTGTCACCATGGTTTCTTAAGTTAATAAAGATGCCTGAGTGAATGACTGAATGCAATTAATGGGATAAGAAACTAGTTGACTGGGCGCTGATATAAGCAACCCAGCCAACTTAGTGCTAAGAAATTCAAAGAAGAGAGATAAAACATGTAGAGGTGTTAAATAGCAAATCATAGAAAAAAGATATTTTTGCACACCAAATATCTGTGAATGCATTTCTAAGTGTTCAATATTTATGAATGGCTATGAGATTGAAAGTTGCTTCAGGGCAGAAGCTGTGTGTTATTTTTCTTTGCCTTTTTCTCAGTAAAACACTAGTTGCTGACCCAAAAATTGTTTCAATCCGAATCAATTAAATTCAATGCTAGGACAGAATCCCTAGTTTTTTTTGAGAAAGTAGGCTCTGGACTAGCTTACCTGTGTCGAAGTCTCAGTTTTTCCATTTAGTATGCATGTAACTTTGGGCGAGTTGTTTAATCTCTCTGTGCCTTAGTTTTCTCATCTGTGAAATGGTTTGCATAATGGTACTTACAATACTTCACTCACTTATTATTGGCTCATATAAATGATATCAATTGTACCTTGTGCATACTTAACATTTTACAGACGTTAACTATTTTTATTTAAGTTGCCTTTCCTGAAGTCATCAATATAAGTTTTACCTACAAAAGTAGAAAATTTTGTATTTTCCTTCTCTATTGATTCAACATTTTCTAATAATTGCCTATACCCCATGTGCGTTTATTCATTCACTGAGTAAAAGGGCAATGACAATTAAGCACATACTGTTGAAATGTTGATGCATATTTTAGCAGTCTGTTGAATAGGTTCAGAATCCTCTGAAAAGTTCCAAGTAAGTTGATAATAGATTTCCTTTTTTGTTCTTTCAATGAAGACTGGAATTAGAATACCTGTCATATATTAATTTAGTTTTTGAAAGAAAAGAGACTGTTAGGAAATAATAAAGAGAAGAAAACTGATTGTTTTCTAAACTTCTTAAAAAGCTTGGCGTCATTATCACTACCATCACCAACAAGAATATAGACATTGACAATTACACATCTTTGGGGTGATCGTAAAATTTGTGGAAACACTTTCAATAAGTCTAATAAATAGAAAGTATACTCCTTGAAAAAGAAAAATCCAAGAAATCTTAATTCAACATCATTTTACAGTTAACTAGAACATTCTCTTAATTACAGTGAAATTTTAAAATGAACACCAAAACAATTATTTTTTTAAATGTTTACTGTCATTTAGATCAAATCTTTAACATACAAATCAAAACAATTGTTTAATGTCCTGAATATATACTTGTATATCTATTATTTTGGGAGGCACAACTATAAAACACACTTACGTGCTATTATGTAAGCTCTGCAAACTATTCTTGCCTTACAGTTAATGCAGAAGCTGGTACTAAATTATCCTTTATTTAGTACTTTTATAATATATACTATGTTCTGGTTAATAATACACCTATCCCATGTTTCTTTGGGAAATTGAGTCAAATTTATGAAGTTATGCTGTATATAAACACATTTTGCATTGCGATTTATAAATGAAAACCCCCACATTTTAAGGAACACCTACAACCTTTTTTTTTCTTTTTTCTATTTTTTTTTTTTTTTTTTTTGGAGACAGAGTCTCACTCTGTTGCCCAGGCTGGAGCACAGTGGCACAATCTCGGCTCACTGCAACCTCCGCCTTCCGGGTTCAAGTTATTCTCCTGCCTCAGCCTCCCGAGTAGCCGGGACTACAGGCGCCTGCCACCACATCTGGTTAATTTTTTGTATTTTTAGTAGAGATGGGGTTTCTCCATATTAGCCAGGTTGGTATCAATCTCCTGACCTTGTGATCCGCCCGCCTCGGCCTTCCAAAGTGCTGGGATTACGGGCGTGAGTCACCGCGCCCAGCCTACAATTTTTATAATTAACTTGCACTTACCTGGACTCTCGGTGAAAAGAAAGGTCTGTAAGAACCGTAATAAATAATTCATTTTTTCATAGCCTTTATGCTTAGAGCATTTTGGAACTACATCAGCTAAAAGTTAATTCTAATCCTAAATGCCATTTTCCCTCCAGCAGTATTACATGTGTTTTGATACTACACTAAAAATTCGAATTGGCTAAATCACAGCATATCTACCACAGAACACTGAAAAAGAAATCTATAATTTAATCCGGTTAATCGTAGATTTACTTTTGTATAACCTGTTTATCAAGGAGAAAAAGATCATTTCATTTACTCATTTAGTTATTCGTTCAGCAAATATTTATTTAGGGCCTGCCATGTTACAGACACTGTTAGCTTCAATAAAGTCCTTGTTTTCATGAAGTTTATGGTATTGTGGTGAATATAGATAAACAAAATCAGATACTATAATATATTGTGGTACACAAGCTATGATTTTAAGGACCTTTTCGTTTAAAAAGAAGTTCAATATCCTACCCCTCAGAGTTACTGGCATTGTCTTTAGCCTTAATTACCATTAAGACCAATATTCTTGCTCCTGTCACTTCCCTATAAATTATGATATGACCGGAGGGATGACACACAGAACTCGGAGCCTGTAGGCAAATGATAAACTGTAGACAATTTTGCAATTTTATCTAAATTAGTCACGTTATATGAAACACTAAAATGCAAATCAGCTACAGCTACAAATCTATCCTTTTTCTGTGTCAGAAAAATATTTTCCTGAGGATTATCAAATCTCCATTTGCACATTTCACAAGTAGCTGAAATCAAGTAGCATCTCTGATTAACTTCTAAAATTTGATACTATGCAGAGAATAACTTTCCCATGGTGATAGTCAGAATAGTGTCAAGTTCATGAGCTGGAGCATACAAATCTAACTTTGAAGTTGAATTTCATATCAGGAAGTACTTGGGAAATGTGTTACTATGCAATCTAAAGATATCAAATTATATATACAGCAAACTCTCCTTGTTACTAGGGAGGAAATGTTTTCCGATTCCATCCATAAACTAGAGCATGCAATCCATATGCAGTACACTAACAGAATACAGACAA